TCCAGAAGTGAAATAGATGGGAAGCCTATAAAACTTTTACTAGATTTATATAATCTAAACAATTTAAGGGCAAATGAACAGAAACCTGCTTCAAATTAAAATAACAGGGAATCATGGCCCCTCACCCAGTTCCTGGATTTGAGCCAGTTTATAGATCCAGAACCCCTTGAATGAAGGGGAGGCCAAATCTCCTTGGGAAAGGATCCTGATACACCAAAAATTTATACAGTCAATCTTTCTCCCATCCTTCCCTAGAGGGATCTAAGGCCTTTTGCTTGAGTGACTGTACTCTGGGGGAAGGGAAATGATAAGACATTTCAAGGGCTACTGGACACTGGTTCTGAACTAACACTTTTTCCAAGGGATCTAAAATGTCACTATGGCCCTCTAGTAAGAGTAGGGGCCTATAGAGGTCAGGTGATCAATGAAGTTTTAGCAAAACTCTGACTCACAGTGGGTCCAATAGGTCCTTGAATCCATCCTGTAGTCATTTTCCCTGTTCCAGAATGCATAATTGGGATCGATACACTCAGTACTTGGCAGAATCCTCACAGTGGTTCCCTAACCTGTATGTAGTGTGAAGGCTATTATGGTTGGAAATGCTAAATGGAAGCCATTAGAGTTGCTTTGCCTGGTAAAATCATAAAGCAAAAGCAGTATCACATCCCTGGAGGGATCGAAGAGATTAGTGCTACCATCAAGGACTTGAAGGATGCAGAGGTGGTGGTCCCCACTACATCTCCATTTAATTTAATTCTCCCATTTGGCCTATCCAGAAGATGGATGGGTCTTGGAGAATGACAGTAGAATATCATAAACTAAATCAAGTGGTGGCTCCGATTGCAGCTGTGGTACCAGATGTGTTCTCCTTACTTGAACAAATTAACACATTTGCTGGTACTTGGTATCCAGCTATTGATTTGGCAAACACCTTCTCTATACCTATCCATAAGGACCATCAGAAAAAATTTGCTTTTAGCTGGCAAGAACCTTTACTGTCCTTCCTCAGGGTTAAATTTGCTCTCCAGCCCTGTGTCACAACTTAGTTCAATGGGATCTTGATTGCCTTTCTCTTCCACGAGGTATCATGCTGGTTCATTACATTGATGATATTATGCTTACTGGGGCAAGTGAGCAGGAGGTACCAACTACTCTGGTTTTGTTAGTAAAACATTTGAGAGTCAGAGGATGGGAAATAAATCCAAAGAAAATTCAACATCCTATTTCAGTGAAATTTATAGGAGTCCAGTGATGTGGGACATGTAGAGATGTCCCTTCTAAGATAAAAGATGAGTTGCTGCATCTGGCTCCTCCTATAACCAAAAAAAGGCACAATGTCTAGTGGGCCTATTGGATTTTGGAGACAACACATTGCACACTTAAGGTGTCTTATCCTGGCCTACTTACCAAGTGACTTGGACAGCTGCTAGTTTTGAGTGGGGCTCAGAACAAGAAAAAGCTTTCCAACAGGACCAGGTTGCTATTCAGGCTGCTCTGCCACTGGGTCCATATGATTCAGAAGATCCAATGGTACTTGAAGTGGCAGTGGCAGGTAGAGATGCTGTTTGGTGTCTTTGGCAGGCCCCTATAGGTAAATCACAGTGGAGGCCTTTAGGATTTTGGTGCAAGGGCCTGCCATCATCTGCAGACAACTACTCTCCCTTTGAAAAGCAATTCTTGGCCAGCTACTGGGCCTTAGTGGAAACTGAATGCTTGACCATGGGACACCAGGTCACTATGCGCCCTGAGTTGCCTATCATGATCTGGGTATTATCTGATCCACCAAGTCATAAGGTTGGATGCTCACAGCAGCAGTCTATCATTAAATGGAAATGGTGTATATGCGAAAGAGCCAGAGCAGTCTAGAGGGTATAAATAAATTACATGAGAAAGTTGCCAGATGCCTATGGCTCCTACACCTGCTATATTGCCTTCTGTTTCCCAGCATGCACCAATGGCCTCATGGGGTGTACCATATGATCAGCTGTCAGAGGAAGAGAAAGCTAGGGCCTGGTTTACAGATGGCTCTGTACATTATGCATGCATTACCCAGAAGTGGACAGCTGTAGCATTACAGCCCCTTTCTGGGACACCCCTGAAGGACAGTGGTGAAGGGAGACTGTCACAGTGGCTGAAACTTTGGGCAGTGCATAAGGTAGTACATTTTGTCTGAAAGGAGAAATGGCCAGATGTGTGACTGTATACTGATTCATGAGTTATAGCCAATGGTCTGGCTGGATGGTCAGGAACTTGGAAGGAACTTAATTGGAAAATTGGTGACAAAGATATTTGGGGAAGAGGCTTGTGGATAGACCTGTCCATATGGGCACAAGATGTAAAAATATTTGTTTCCCATGTGAATGCTCACAATCAAGTGGATAAGGTGACTCATTCTGTGGATAGTAGCCAGCCTCCTTCTTCAGCCACCCCTGTCATTGCCCAGTGAGCCCATGAGTAGAGTGGCCATGGTGGCAGGAATGGAGGTTATACATGAGCTTAGCAACACAGACTCCCACTCACCAAGGCTGCTACAGCCACTACTGAATGCCCAATATGCCAGCAGCAAAGACAATCACTGAGTTCTCAACATGGTGCCACTCCCTGGGGTGATCAACCTGTAACCTGGTGGCAGGTTGATTATATTGAACCACTTCCATCATGGAAGGGATTGCACTTTGTCCTCACTGACTTAGACATGTATTCTGGATATGGATTTGCCTTCCCTGCACATAATACTTCTGCCAAAACTACACCTGTGGACTCACAGAATGCCTTATCCACCATCATGGAATTCCACACAGTATTTCCTCTGACCAAGGAACACATTTTATGGCTAAAGAAGTGAGTAAATGGGCTCATGCTCATGGAGTTTACTGGTCTTACCATGTTTCTCATCATCCAGAAGCAGTTAGGTTGATAAAAAGGTGGAATGGTCTTTTGAAGACACAGCTACAGTGCCAGCAAGGTGGCAATAGCTTGCAGGGCTTGGGCAAGGTTCTTCAAAAGACTGTATATGCTTTGAATCATCATCCACTATATAGTACTGTGTCACACATAGCTAGGAATCACAGGTCCAGGAATTAAGGGGCCAGTGATCCACTAGCAAAATTTTTGCTTCCTGTTCCCATGACCTTATGTTCTGCTGGCTTAGAAGTATTAGCTCCAGAAGGGGGAAGGCTTGTACCAGAAAGTACAACAATATCATTGAACTGGAAGCTAAGACTTTCCCCTCCCTGGTCATTTTGATCTCCTCATGCCTCTGAGGAAACAAGCTAAAAAGAGAGTCACAGTGTTGTCAGGGGTGATACACCCAGACTATTGAGGGGAAATTGGACTACTGTTCCATAATGGAGGAAAGGAAGAATATACTTGAAGTGCAAAAGATCCCTTCAGGTGCCTCTTAGTATTACCACCCACTGTTATTAAAGTCAGTAGAAAAGTACAACAACCTAATCCAGGAAGAATGACAAATGGTCCAGACCCTTCAGGAATGAAAGTATGAGTCACTCCATCATGACCTTCTGAGGTGCTTGCTGAAGGCTGAGGGAATACAGAATGGGTAGTAGAAGATAGTTCTAAATACCAGCTAGGACCCTGTGATCAGCTACAGAAATGAGGACTGTAATTGTATTATTTCTTTCCTAATATTGCTTCTTAAGGATTGTTAAACCTACATTTTAATGTTCACTTTATGAAATGTTAAGAGCAAGCATCACCCAAAGAAAACTTTTCTTCTGTTATAGGGAAGGAATTAGTGCATTTATGTTTGTTTGAAGGATAGTTATAACATGTTAGGCATAATTATGAGCTCATCTTTATATCTGGAGACTGGTTTAAAGAAATGTGTCTGGTGCCAAGTTGACAAGGGGTGAATTGTAATGGTTAAATGACTGTGTCAACTTGAGAAATTTGGTTAAGACAAGCTTAGCTAAATCAGCTCAGCAATTCCATGCCCTCAGTTGTGGGAGATCCACCCTAGAGCTGTTCATCATCTGGCTGTTATAAAGACATATAAAGAGGAAATTAGGAAGGATGAGCTGCTTCTGTTCCTTTGGAGGAGCTCTCGTTTTCACCTCGGACGTCACGCCTTCTAGCCCAGACTCTTCAGCTTCTGGCATGGATCCTTCAGCCTTCTGGCTAGACTCTTCAGCCTTCCATCACAGCCCCATCAGCCTCCTGATATGGACTCCCACAGTGATGACACTGCAGTGAGCTCCAGACCTTCAACTAAATCCTTCAATCTCCAGTGTGCAGGCAGACCCTCTGGACTCTTCCTCATCCTACTCTGTGGGTGGCCACTATAAGCCAATCTTATAAATTCATATATATATTTATATATCATCTGTTATATATGTTTTCTAGTAAATACCAACTGATACAACAAACAACAAAATTGTTAAATTCAGTTAAATATAATATATCCTATTGTTAAATTATTTATTTTATTTAGTTTGTTTATACGGCAGGGCCTTAAGTAGTTTCTGGAATTATCTCTACAATTTCTGGACAGGGACTCTAGTGAGGAAAGCAAAGCTCAAGTAGCAAATCAAGGCACATGGCACCAGAAGAGCTGTAAATTATGTCAAACATTTATTTCCATAAGAGCCACTAAAATAAAGCATAGCTCTATGGCAGCTTTGGACATGTCCTTAAATATAAATGTTGACCCTTAGTAAAGCATCTTTGCTCAGCTTCCAACAAACACTATTTCTCTGATGAACAAGGGGAGGATAAAGTCTCTAGAAACATGAATTTTTGCCCTTCCCACCTACCTTTACAGCAGATTTTACCCGTCATAAAAGGGTGGTTCTTCTCTGACCTCATTTGGGGATGGAACTTTTAACCAAAATAGTGTCACCCCCCAACCCACTGCTACACACCAACGTAAGTGACCACAGAAGAAGCAAAGGCCTATAAAAAGACAGAACGTAATGCTGCCCTTTGCCCACCTCACGGCAGACACAAGGTCATCCAGCCCCAGTTGACCAGGAAAAGCAGCGATGTCTCCTAGGAGGTCTTCTTCAATGGTGAGTACTGCACAGATGTGCACTGTGCTTTAGACTTGGACCAGATTCTATTTCTGGACTGTGGCATGAAACGCTGGACTCTGTAGAAATCCATGAATACTGTATATGTAGGATAAGAAATGAAACATTGGGTAGATACTTAAATCATTGTACAGCATTTTCAAGAACTGATACACATCAGTTTGAAAGATGAGATTAAAACTGAAAGATTGCTATATTGTGGCTAAACCACATAAAAAGTGTCTCATGATGCTGTGCAGTAAAAAAGAATGTTTATTGACAATCTGTTTTCCTGAGTTCAAAGTATTTAATACAATTCTCCCACAGCATTTTTTATCTATAATAAAATGGGTTACCATCCTTGAGAACTTCAAACCTGTAGAAACGAACTTTGTTTCCATTATATTTATGCCATAGTCTGTATTTTAGTTAGATTTATGTTTAACTGTGCTTTAGAATAAATGGACTTTATGTTTATAAAATATTTAACTTAAAAGTCTATTTTGAAATATAATTTTATTACAGAATCAATGCATGATGAATTCAGAAAAATGTATTCAGAAAACATACGGGAGTGCTAGCTCTTAGTTGCATGTTACTGACACTGCATCTATTTTCTACAGCCCTTTCTTCCAAGGTGCATGTTTAACTTCACATAGGACTTCGCAGAATGGTAGAATTAAGAATAATGGTGCAGAAAGACATTTCCTCCTAGAAAAATCAAAGTCATTTATTCTTCCGTTGACCTGACATTGATGTATTTGCTGGCAGGCTGATGACATGGTGTGCCTTGGCATTTTACTGAAATTACTGCCAGGCAATGTATAATATATTTTTCCTAAGTCAAAAGAAAGACATTAAAAATGGGTAATATTCAATGGTCTTCACATGATTTGGGTCATCTAAGTCGTTTTTCATTTAACTTATCTGAAATTTAATATAGATTTTCTCAGAATATAGTGTGTCTTATGATTAGCAATATGGTCATCAAAATAAATTTGTCAACAAAAATCACAGGCTAATCTAGTCTCCCATCTTTCTCCTTTTTCCCATGCAGTTCCAGTCATTGCTGCTGCTGCTGAGTCTAATGGCTGTAGTGAAGGCGGGAATACCAATCCCACGAAATCCAGGATGTCCAACTACTGAGGGCAAGAACTTTCTCCAGAATGTCAAGATCAACCTGAGCATCTTTAATCCCCTTGCCCAGAAAGTGAATTCCAGAAGGTCTTCAGACTACTACAAACGATCCACATCACCTTGGACTCTCCAGTATGTAAGAGTCTCAGATAAAATCTGTGTGTTCTTCAATTCTCCTATGCATCACATGGACAGTTAAGTCACCCTGACCCTGATATTACTCAGAAATCAGCAAAACCTGGAGGGGTGATTGTGCAGAGCTGTGATTCTCAAACTTGCATTGTGCAGACTGCTTTTGACAGAGCACAGGCCACCCCACCTCCTAACATTTATCCTGTTAGAACTCATAGGCACTCGCATCAAACATTAACCCAAATTACTAGTAGTCATTATTTGAATATTTATGAAACCTCAAGTCTATTGTTTATTTGTTCAAAGAATTTAGACATTTAATGTAGGGTATTAATTTTTGAATTCTCTCTACTAAACCTATGATTAAGAGTACTTGTTGAAAATAACTAATAATCAACTCCGGGTTTTGTGCTTATCTTTTGGGGAAAGGAGATATAAACCCTGGGAAAATATATCTCAATCATAAGGGAGAAAGTATCATATTGGGTATTTCTACTCCTTATTGAATTAGATGGTCTTGATCTAAATTCCTAATACATCTATACTGGCTATGTTCTTACTATTCCCAGTATTTAGACCCCATCAAAGAGTCAATAAAAAATGAACTTTGATCATTTGACTTTATGCAAATAAGCTTTAGTTATAAGGAATGTACAGACTTACCTGCCTATAAGATTTCTTTGCCTCATCCCAATAAATCAAAAGTCAAAGAAAATCATATATTCAACTGGAGGAGAAAGGAAGGGAAAGGTAATAAAGGAACTTAAGCTTTTGTTTCTAACCCTTCATATCTCCTCTCAGCTATTTCTCATGAAAATGCTGGAGATTAAAACTCTGATGTAGCCTTGCTTCCTGAGACAGAGTTCATCAAATCAGACAGACAATTATGTACCTTTTTCCTAGATCATTCCAAGTCTACTCTTCCTTTGGTACTTTTTCATCAATCAAATGTACCCTAAAACTTTCTTTTGTGTCACACTTAAATCCTTTCTGTGATCTATCTTATTTTGTTCATTCTTCAAAGAAATTAGATGGAGAAAAGATCGTGTCTTCTTTTCTGTAATAACTAGCGTGCTTGAAAATCCAATTTTGGGGGCTGGAAGTGTAGCCTAGTGGTACAGTACGTGTTTCACATGCTCAAGGCGAGTTCAATCACTGGCACTGCAATTAATTGTTACAAGTCCAAGTGTTCCCCAAAGTTCTTCAGACTACAGTCCCTTTGAAAGTTTGCGTGCTTATGATATTTTTTTCCTCCTTTTGTTTACTCATGTTTGATTCACTTTCTACTTTACTTGGAATTCACTTTCCCCATGACTTTTGTCTCCCCTTCAGCCGCAATGAGGACCCTGAGAGATACCCGTCTGTGATCTGGGAGGCAGAATGCAGCTTCTCCGGCTGTATCAACGCGGAGGGAAAGGAGGACTACCACGTGAGTTCTGTCCCCATCCAGCAGGAGATCCTGGTCCTGCGGAGGGAGCCTCAGAACTGCCCACTCTCCTTCCGCCTGGAGAAGATGAAGGTGACTGTGGGCTGCACCTGTGTCACTCCTGTCGTCCGCCACGTGGGCTGAGAGCTTTGGTCAAAGCACAGCGTGCCAGAAGCAGCTAGGCTTCTGTCCAGCAGGCCCAGCGCTGAAGATCTCTCGTCCTGCTAAGGCCCAGCCCACTTCAGACCAAACTCACTAGAATTCTGAAAACAATTCGTCCTATTGAGATGTGGGAAGTAATAAGGTTCCAAGATGGAATCGGAATCACTGTCCTCTCTCAACAGGGAAGAGGGTTTAATTTGCTTCTTGTTTGCTTATCTAAGGGCTTCAAGTTATTTATGTATTTAATATGTCCTGAGATTACTTTGGGGCATAAGATTTCATTTTAATGAATTATCTGTCTTGGAAATTTTATTATTTAAAAAGTAAAACCTATATTTATATGAGCTATTTATGAATCTATTTCCTAAGTCTTTAGAGAAAGGTGAAAGTTTGATTGTTAGTTCCACCTAGGGAAATCCTAGATAGGATTAAAGGGCAACTGGAAATTTCTGAGCTTTTATATATGTGAGTATATGATTTCTTCCTTTTTGTCTCTTAGAAGTACATGATGTGACTGAAAAGAAAGACAAGCCTAGTTTCATATTTATTAACTTAAACTTTTAAATTATTGAGGTTCCATAAGAGAGATGGCAAGTCTAACTCTGTTCTGTTAAACTTTGTAATACAATCACTCTGTGATAATAAAAGTTGGGAAGAAAATTTGTTTCCTTATTCTTTCTCATTAAAAGCATTCTTTGCTCTTCACATCCATACATTTTGTATCCTTGGAGCCAACCAATTAGGGATCAGAAATGTAATTAGGCCTATGTTGGTTGTATCTGTACTGAATACAGTACAGATTTTTTTTCCTTGTCATTATTTCCTATGCAATACACTACAAGAACTATTTACATAGCACTGACATAGAGTGAGGCATTATAAGTCATCTAGAGATTATTTAAAGTATACAAAAGAATGTGTGTAGGTTAGATGCAAATACTATCAATTTATGTGAGGGTCTTGTGCATCCACAGATTTTGTTATCTTGGGGGGGGGTGCCTGTTACAAATCCCCCAAAGATAATGCAGGACAACTGTACTTCAGCAAATTCAGCTCTTCCCTACTGAGAAGAGTATGCAAATTCACCAATAGAGCAAAGCAAAAGATGGCTTTGAGCAGCTTGCCCTAGAACCACTCAAGTACAAATTCTCAATTTCAGATGCTTTCCAGACAACCTAGGGCAAGGCTTTCACACTATTAGGTAGTGCTGTGGGCAGAAGCATTCCAAACTATATTAAGCAAATAAAATAATGGCCATGAAAAATTCACTAAAAGATCAATTGGGAAAAAATAAAAGAACCTCCCAAAAATATAACCTAAAATTTGACATAAAAAAGGAAGCACTGTGAGGAGATGCTGTTTTCAAACTAGTATGTCCAGGGTCTGCTCCAAAGTCAGCTTCCTTTGAAGATTAAGGTCCATCAGAGTAACAGCAGCCATACTCCTCGGACCTGTCTTCTCTGATCCAGCACACCCAAGGACACAGAAAGCAGCCTGTGAGACAGGACAAGCTTGAAGCATGAGAAAAGTTCAGTGCAAGTAAAATAAAAACTGAATCACATTCAATGTCACAGTAGCTTTAAGTTTCAAATCATAACCACCCCCTCTCATGTCCCATCTTGCCCTACTTCTGGAGGTCTCTGGAGATTCTCCAGCCAGACCCACAAGCAACCTGCTTCCTGGAAGGCTCCCCCCTTCAGTCCTGCATTCCTCAGCCTGCTGCCCCTCCACCTGCTCCTCCACCTGCTGTCCCTCCACCTAGGGGCCTACAGCCTTTCTCTACTTCTTTCCAAGTTCCACATCCAGGGGTCAAATTCTCCAGCCCCCATCCCTTCAGTATTATGTTGTGCTCTTACATCTTTGTTTTTGTGGCTATTTCAGTCATCAGCTTCCTAAAGACATACAGCTGCCACTAACAGGTTCTCACAGCTTCATGCTTCAAAATTCATCCTAAAAACCACCTGCTCATTATTTATTCTTCCCTGAGTGGTGAAAAGAAAAATTTGTTTTTGTTTTACAGGACAGGTGAGAGAAGGGCGTATATATGTCTATGGTCCTGAACCATTATTTTACACTAGATTTTTTGGAGGATGCAAAGAGGCAGTTGCCTTCTGTGTTAGTCCATTTTGTGTTCTTGTAACAAAATACCTGAGGCTGGAAATGTTAAAGAGAAAAAGGAGTTTATTTAGCTCAAAATTCTAGAGATTCAAAAACAAGGCAACATGTGCTCGCTTCAGCAGCACATATACAAAAACAAGGCAACAGCATCTGCTCAGCTTCTGGAAAGGACCTTGTGGTGGATGGCATCATATAGCAAGAGCCTGTGCTGAAGAACAAGGGTTCAGGGAAGGTGCCAAGCTTGTTTATAATGATCCATTCTCAAGATGGTCTCATGAGACCTGGTGCATGCTCATGAGATAGTGTTAATCCCTTTTGACAATGATGCCCCATTTCTGAGTACCTTGCACTGGGACCTGCCTCTTACTGGTTCCCCTACCTCAACACTGCCCCAGTGGAGACCAAGAGTCAAACACAGAATCTTTTGGAGACAATGTATATCTGAACCATAGCACTTTCTACATCTCCCGTCCCTGACAGGCTTTGATTTCTCTGTCTTCACATTCCCCATTCAGCACTGTTGTCCACACAGTCATCCAAGCTAGGAACTAGTGAGCCTTCTTCATCTCATCTTTTCTCTTTCTCTCCCTCATAATTAACATCCCCACATCACCAAACTAGCTATTTTCACCTCCCAAATGTTTCAAACAGACTCCTTTCCACTCCATCAATACCATGCTGCCAAGGTTCAGGACTTCATCTTTTCTCATTTCTTTCTTCAGTTATTGCTGCAACTGCCCACTTGTTTCTCCCACCACTACTCCTGTCCCATCCTGCAACATCGGCCCAGGGCACAGTCAAACGTGGCAGAAAGTGCTCTCAGTAACCATCTCCTGCTCTCTCATACCACTACCTCCATTGTGTTTTATGTTCCAGTTGTAGTAATAAGGTTCTGGTGGCAACCACCATGCTGTTCTTGACCTCAGTTCCTGTGCTGTGCTTCCTCTCTGCCTGAATGTCCTCACCACTCTCTGCTGTACTGGACCTCTATGCATAGCCTGCCTGGTATCATTTTCTCTAAAGAGCTTCTCAGACTCATCAGTCCCTCTTATCCTAGATTAGGTCTTTCTTTTCTGCATACCAAGATGAGTTTGGATATCTTTCATCATTTCTCCCACAGATTATATCTGCTTCATTTATTTAACCAGTTTGTGGTCCCTTGAGACCAGCAACATCAACACCTGATCTGGCACATAGTGGAAAGTCAATGCTGAACTGAATCTGAATCAGTAGTCCACAGACACTTTAAAGTCAACAGAGACAAAACTACACTCACTAAACTTACTCCCAAACTGGCTCCTGGTATGGCCTCACCTACTCATCTGAGCCAGAAACTGAGCTTTCTGTCTTCCCATCATTCCTCTCATCTAGTCAGTGACGAACTCTTCATCAACATCTCTTCTGTCCTCTCCCTCCTCTCCAACTCCAAGGTTGCCATTGCAGTTACCTTATAATAATATTTGGGTGGTTCATCTTGATTGAATTGAGATACAACTAGGAAATTAGTAAGGCATACTTCTGAGTGTGTCTATGAGGGTGTTTCCAGAGATAATTGGCAGGTAGGTCAGCCAACTGATGTGGGAGACCCAACCTGAATATGGGTGCCATCATCCAATAGAATGGGGGCCCAATGCAACAAAAGCAGAAGGATGCCTTCTTTCTCCCACCTTCCCAGATGCCATGAAGTAAAATAGCTTTGCTCTACAACTCCCTTCTGCCATAATGCTTTGCCTCACTAGAGGGCCACAGCAATGGAACCAGTCAACTATGGACTAAAACCTCTGCAATTGTGAGCCAAAATAAACTCTCCTCCTTTCAGTTGACTTTCTTTACTATTTTTTCACAGCAGTAGAAAGCTTACTAACTCAAATATGATCCTTACTGGTGTCTCTGCCTTGTTTCTTCTACTTTTTTTTTCTTTTTTTCTCCCATTAAGTTTATGGTACATTTTAGGTATAAAATACAGTTACATTCATCATTGGGATCTTGTACCTTTATATGATGTACCTTGGTTCTTATTTTTTTCCCATTCCCTAGCCCTCCTTTCACCCCCTCCACCCTTCCCTATTTACAAAGACTTTGTTTCCATTTTTTTCTTTTCTTATATTTTTTCTGTTCCCTTCTTTCCTTTCCCCTACCCCTCCCACTTCCCCTAATCCTTTACACCTTTTCTTCCTATTATACAATATCAATTATACATTGCTTTAATTACAATATTAAAATTTAGAGGAGATTACCACAGATTTTACAGAATTAAAGAAGGATATAGAAAGCATAATGCAAAAATCTTTTTTGAAATAAATTTGACAACTTCTAAGAAGAACCTTGGAAGACAAATTAAATAAACTGACTCTGGAGGAAACATAAAATTTAAATAGCACCTATTGAAGAAAGTATATTCCTACACTGCTCCCAGCCCAGAGGAGGCTTCCAGGCCACTGTAACACCACTCCCAGTACAAAGGAGGCTTCCAGCCACAGTACTACTGCTCTCAGCACTGAGGAGGTGAGCTGCATGGATGCCAACAACACACACACACACACACACACACCTCATCCCCACAACCCAACTCACCCCTGCACCCCCCGTCAAAATGAGTGTAACCACTGTGGAAATCAGTATGGAAATTCCTCAAAGAACAAGGACTGGAAGTGACATTTGACACAGCTATTCCTCTGCTGGGTATCTTCCCCAAAGAATTAAAAGAATCATACCACAGTGATATATGTGTATCCATACTTAGAGCAGAACAGTTTGTAATAGCTAAAACTTGGAAGCGGCCCAAATGCCCATCAGCTGGAGACTGGATAAAGAAAATGTGGGTTTTTTTATAAAATGGAGTACTACTTAGCCATAAAACATGA